AAGAAAAGAAAAGAAAAGAAAAGAAAAGAAAAGAAAAGAAAAGAAAAGAAAAGAAAAGAAAAGAAAGAAACACAGGACCCTAGCCAGTTTGGCTCACTGGATAGAGTGTTGGCCTACAGACTGAAGGGTCCTAGGTTCAGCTCTAGTCAAAGGCTTGTACTTCAGTTGCAGGCTCTATCCCAGGCCTTTCTTTCTCTTTGCCTCTCTCCCTCCCTTCCACTCTCTCTAAAAATCAATGGAAAAATACCCTCAGGTCAGAATTAACAAAACAAAACCAAAAAAAAAAAAATAAGAAATACCTTAGTGAACTGAGTCCCACCCCATTACTGGATCAATACCAATTCTGATGAGTTTCCTTTCCAAGGGATTAATCTTAGTGCAAAAGGTCACACAACTGGTTATAGAGCTGGAATGCAAACCTGGCCCAAAGTGAGCTTGGAAAAAATTCTGTTCCATCTGACATGAACAACTGTTGTCCTGAAGGGGTTCAGATCCCTGAATAAAGTGGAAGAAGGGAAGGCTGCTGGCCCTACTATGGATTGTTCTGGTTTGAGACACCATGTATCTACCACAAGCACAACACAGGAACAAGGAAAGATTTAGTGAGGATAAGGCAAATCTTGGCCCAACAGGCTGGCACAAACCACACAGAAGCCAGAAGGAGTGGGAAGAGCTGTTTAGTTTCTTAGATGCCCTTCTTGCCTAAGACACTCTGTCTTGCCCCACAGAACATCTGGAAAGAAGATGTAGGAGAGAGACCACATCAGGCAGTAAAAAGCAATTATTGAGAATGGAGAAAAAAACAGTATGATGACACCTGGAAGGAGAAAGAAATACAACACTCAGTTTTTATGAAGCTTTCTTACATGTATTTCCCACCCTCTCCTCTCTCATCCCCACTCACCTCCAAGATAAACTATTTTTTTCCAATTCTCAGATTCTAGGATTTCATCATGTGGGTAGTAGCTCTGGTCCATCATGAATAGAATCATAAGTGAGGCCATGCAGGAGAGAATGAACCTGTTGCCTTTGGTCAGAAGGGAGGTGGAGGCCAGAACACAGGAAGCATAGGGGCAGGGTAGACCCTTGTATGTGAAGGAAAGGCCGCCTGGGGAAAGAAAAGATGGGGATTAGCTGTTTCCTGCTGATCTCAAGGTATCTGCATGAAGCAAGCCCCTGTCCCTTTGGGTTTTCCCTACCCCTCACTCCAAACCCCCTTAATCTCAGGACAGTAGCATTTAGCTATTCATGGAGATGGTGCATGGGCTTTGCATTGGATCCCCAAGGCACTAGTAAAGCAGACGGCTAGGACCAGGGGTGTGCCTTGGCCCTAGGAAGCCTCTGTAGAAGGGCCCTAGATGTAGGCTGCATCTGCACTCCCTTGCGTTGGAATCTTAGGCAATTGCCTTCGCCAGAGCTCCGTATCTCCATCTGTTTTAGGAAACTGGAGTAAGATCTAGAGTCTAAATCCATGTGCTTCATCCAAAGGTCACATAGTGAGAAAAAGGCATAGCTGGCCCAAGAATGAGGGCCCTAACCTCCCCTCCCCCACCTCCTCAGACCAGGGCTCTTCCAGTGCTGCCTCCAGACTCCAATGGGTCTGGGGCACAGCAGAAGGAAGGAAGAGGGACTTTATAAAAGGAAGGAGAGGAGTCAGTTACTGCACTCAACAGCTCCTCCCCCTCCATGGTTCCCAAGCTCAGACATAAGGCTGGGTTTCACTCACTAGTTGAATAAAAACACAGGCGGAAAGAAGCAGCTAACACATAGATGATGGCCAGGAACCCATTCAGAGGCCCATCCACGCCTAGGAGCAGGGCTGTGGCCAGGCCAAAGGTGGTGAAGACAGCAAAGTCATTCAGCTCAGCTCCTGCTCCAGAATGCCAAGGTTAGAACTTACACTTATACATCGTGTACATTAGTCCCCTCCGGTGGGGGTGCTGGGATGGTGACAAGCACGGTCTGAGGTCCCAGAAGGTAACATCTATTCCCCTGGGTGTTTATAGATCAAAGACTGGTCTTATTCTGGCTCCACCTTAGAATGACCATGTGGCCTTAGGCAAGTCTTTCCTGGCCCAGGCCTTAGTTCCCCCCTTTAACATGCAAGGATTGGACTACAACTGGATACAAATTAAGAAACTATGGAACCATTTTTTCAAGCAAAATCTGACATAAAAATATTTTTTTGATCAACTGCTCTGCTTGGAGTAATTTTTCATTTCCCCTCTCTCCCACCATCACAACCACCATTCCCACTCCCAGTTCTTGGATTGGTTCTGAACAGGAATTCAGGGGAGACAAGAAAACTGAAAGCCAGGCTAAGGATAACCAGAGATCAGTAAGCGAGCCAGCAAAGGAGCTAGATCTAGGCTGAGGGGCTCCAGCTCCAACTCTAGGGTTGCTTCTGCTATACTCAAGGGATGTAAACAGGACTGGTGACTGATAAAGGCCTGTGAGTGTCATACGATGAAGGAGCTGACCTGACATGGGCGCTCCTGGGGTCAGGGTTTAGGGGTCTGAGGCCTGGACTCACCTGATTTGGAGCAGATATTGAGATGTCTGGTGATTGTCCTGACTGCCATGTCCATTAGGAAGCCGATCAGAAGCATCCAGGAAGCACAGCTGGATTTCCTAGTGTGGGCCCAAACAGGACAGCTTTCATAGTCTCCACTGGACAACCATTTCACACACCTCCAGTACACTAATACACTTCCTACATTTGCACACATACACACCCCTACAAGTTTCCCACATTCACATCCTTTCTGATATACACAGCTTTATATGCCATGCACATGTGCATGCACACACACACACACACACACACACACACACACACACACACACTTACATTCCTTCTATTCTCTCAACCCACAATCTTGAAGTGGTGCCCAAACCTCCTAAGTCCGTGGTCGGCAAACTGCGGCTCGCGAGCCACATGCGGCTTTTTGGCCCCTTGAGTGTGGCTCTTCCTAAGCCTTAGGAGTACCCTAATTAAGTTAATAACAATGTAGCTACCTATATAGTTTAAGTTTAAAAAATTTGGCTCTCAAAAGAAATTTCAATTGTTGTACTGTTGATATTTGGCTCTGTTGACTAATGAGTTTGCCAACCACTATCCTAGGTAATCACTAAGGTCCCTTCCAACTCTAAGTTTCAGGTATATTCAATGGCCCAAGGGTCTTAGGTTCTAGCCCAGCCTCTGCAACTACGTATATTACTGTGAATTCTCAGATAAATCACTCCCCTCTTTCTCTAGGCCTTTTTGTTCCTCCATCTGTAAAATGAGGGGTTTGTATCAAATGATTTCTTTAACACATATAATAGTAGGCCTATTCGTATTATCTATCTTTTCTACTGTGAGTTTTGATAGTTTAGATCTTTTAAGGAATTGGTCCATTTCATCTAGGCTATCAAATTTGTGGGTACAGAGTTCATAATATTCTTTTATTATACTTTTAATGTTCATGAGATCAGTAGTGATGGCTCCTCTCTCATTTCTGATATTGGTAATTTGTGCCTTCTCTTTTTTTCTTGGTTAGCCTAGCTAGAGGCTTATCAATTTTATTGATCTTTTCAAAGAACCAGTTTTTTGTTTCATTGATTTTCCCTATTAATTACTTGTTTTCAATTTCATTGAGTTCTGCTCTAATTTTTATTATTTACTTCCTTCTCTTACTTTAGATTTAATTTGCTCATCTTTTTCTAGTTTCCTACAGTGGAAGCTCAGGTTATTGATTTTAGATCTTCCTTCTTTTCAATTTTTCTAAAACTATTTTTAGAGAAATGTTAGGTTTATAACAAAATTAAAAGGAAAGTGCAGAGTTTTCCCATATTTCTCCACCTCTCACATATGCATAGTCTCCCCATTATCAACATCACTCACCAGAATGGTATATTCTGTTTCTTGGTACATAACCAAGGATGAACCTACATTGACACATCATAATCAGCCAAAGTCCATAGTTTACCTTAGGATTCATTCTTGGTGGTGTACATTCCGTGGATTTGGACAAAGGTATAATGACATATACCCATCATTATAATATCATATAAAGTAGTTTCACTCTCCTAAAAATCCTGTGCTCTACTGATTCATGTCCTCCCCAAGCCCCCTATCCTTTCTGGCAACCACTAATCTTTTTATTCTCTCCATATTTTTTTTTTCCGGCTATGTAGCCTTTCAGATTAGCTGCTTTCATTTAATAACATGCATTTAAATTTCCTCCATGTTTTCTCATGGCTTGATAATTCATTTCCTTTTTGCACTAAATAATATTCCATTGTCTGGATGTACCACAGATTTTTTTTTATCCATTCACCAAGTGAAGGACATCTTGGTTGCTTCCATGTTTTGGCAGTTATGAATAAAAGACCATAAACATCCAAGTATAGATTTTTGGACATAGTTTTCAATTCATTTGAATAAATACCAAGGATTGTGATTACTAGGTCATACAGTAAGAGTATGTTAGTGTGTAAGAAACTGCCAAACTATCTTCCAAAGTGGCTGCACTATTTTACATTCCCACCAGCAATGAATGAGAATTCCTATTGTTCCACATCCTCACCAGCATTTGCTATTGTCAGTGTTCTGGACTCTGGCTATTTTAATAGGTATGTAGTGGTATTTCACTTGTTTTACTTTATATTTTCCTGATGACATATGATGTTAAGCATTTTTTTAATTGGGTTATTTTCCTATTGTTATGTTTTATAATCCCTTATCCAATTTATCTTTTGCAAATATTTTCTCCCAGTCTGTGGCTTGTCTTCTAATTCTCTTTGCTGCTGCTGCTTCTTTTTAATCCTCACCTGAGGATATGTTTTTATTGATTTTAGAGAGAGGAAGTGAGAGAGAGAAAAAAATCAATATGCGAGAGAAACACCAATTGGTTGCCTCCTGTGCCCCAACAGGGGATCGAACCCACAACCTAGCTATGTGCCCTGACTAGGAATCAAAACTGCAATATTTCGGTGTGCAGGATAATGTTACAACCAACTGAGCCACCTAGCCAGGCCTGTCTTCTAATTCTCTTGATGTAGTCTGTTGCAGAGCAGATTTCTCTTCTAGTATATGAATTTAATGCTATAAATTTCCGTCTAAGTACTGCTTTTACTGCATCTCACAAACTTTGGTAAGTTATACTTTCATTTTCTTTTAGTTAAAAATATTTTTTAATTTCTCTTGAGCTTCTTTTATTCATATATTATTTAAAACTGTGTTTAACCTTTACGTATTTTGAGATTTTCTAGTTATCTGTTATTGACTTCTAGTTTAAGTCCATGTGGTCTGAGAGCGTATTTTATATAGTTTCTATTCTTTTAAATTTGTTAAGGTGTGTCTCATAGCCCGGAATGTGGTCTATCATGGTGAGCTTGAGAAGAATATGTATTCTGCTGTTGTTGGATGAAGTAGTCTATAAATATCAATTGGACCCAGTTGATTGATAGTGCTATCAGTTCAACTATACCTTTACTGGTTTTCTGTCTGCTAGCTCTGTCAATTACTGACAGAAGGGTGTAGAAATATCCAACTATGATAGTAGAGTCATCAATTTCTCCTTGCAATTGTATCAGTTTTTATCTAATGTATTTTGATGTTGTAAATGACGCCCAAGAGCTCTTTCAGATCCAACATTTGAGGATTCTCTGTTTCTGTCCAGCACATGCTCCTGGACCCCTCTGAAAGCAACCACCACAATCTCTGGCAAACTTGCCCTAGGAGGCCATTCCCAAGTCTACATTCTGACTGCAATGGTTGGGTGGCCCAGTAGAAGGAAACAGAAAGCCTGACCCCAGACCTCAGCTGTCCCCAAACAACCTCATCATTTCCTTTGTTTAGACCTATACCTATGTGTTTAAAGGAACTGGGCCCATGATAATATCATAAAAAACACACTCCCAGAAGATTAGGCTAAATTAAGAAAATAAAGATTTTCTGCTGCAGGTATGCCTCACTTTATGAGACTCCCAAAACCCAGACTTAGAGAATCATAAAATTTTCAAACTGGGAGGGGACTTAAATATCATGAGACACAAATCCAGAAAAGCCATCCGCTGATGATTGTAGAGATTCAAACCGATTAGGAGGATATGATTTGCATTATAAAAGATTTATCTATAAAGAGCCAATTTGCCAAGGCATTGAAATATGACTCAATTTATAGAAATATCATTTGCTTACAACTTTTTGAGGCCCATATACATGTCTCAGATTTTCCAGAGCAGTGCTAATTTTAAATATTCCACCAGATCATGTGTTCTTATTTAGGAATTTAAAATTTTGAATTGTAGTGTACCTACCCAATAATTGTGTAGCAAGCATGCCAAACGCGCGGCCAGCGGCCGGCGGCCGGCCGAGGCATGTGCCCTGCCAGCCACGAGTTTGACATGCTTGGTAAAGGCTACCAAAGCAGAACCTCCTGATTTTCTCAAAAAACCATTCTAGACTGCCATATCTGGAAGGAACTATAGAGATCATAGTGCGAGCTCCTTGTTTTAAAGATGGAGAAACTGAGGCTCGGGGATGTGACCTAACCAAGGTCACATACTAGGTGGATGATAGAACTGAAGCTAGAATCTTGGCCCCTTGACTCCCAACCTGCCACACTTTCTTCTGCCCCCATTTGATCTCCATGTGTCAGTGCCTGGCTCTCTAGATTCCCCACTTCTGTCTTCATGCCCATGGCTGAGACCTTGCTGGGCCCCAGACCTACTTGCTGAGGCTGCAGAAGATGGAGAAGAGCCCCATGATCAAGTTGGCCAGCGACAAGACATTGGCAACATCTTTCCAGGAAATTTCATTCATCTGGAGGTGACTCTGGTCTTTGGTCAGGAAGAAACTGGTGTACTAACCTGTGGCCCAGAGAAGAGGGGCAATGGATTCCCAAGGTCAGAGTCCCAAAAGAGGCTCCTAAGAACCAGGTAGCTCCTGTTCCCCTAGATTTTCTCCCAGAACTTCACCCTCCAAACACTGTTCCACTGGCTGGAACGAGGCAGACAGTAAGTAGATGGAGGAGACACAGGAAGTAAAGACAAAGGAGTTGAAGCTGAGTGTCTTGGGAAAGCCCAAGAGCGAAGCAAGTGAACCAGCACAACCATAGTTCTCATGCCTCTCTGACTACATCCCTTACCCCATAGTACAAACCTCCCTCTAGCCATATGTTGACCCACATGGCACCCCATGACCCAGGGTACAAAAGTATGGGCCCTTCCCCGCTGCTGAGCGATGAGCCTTTTGTCACTGAGCTCTTTGTCATAGATGAGACTTTTTTTTTGTATTACAAAGCTATTTTCAATACTTTGATGAGCCCCACAGGAATAAAAAGCACTGGAAAGGGGTAACACGCACACCCTAGGAGTGGCCCAGGGGAGAGAGGCTACCTGAGGGGAAGGAAGCACAACAGGGACCCGCTGCAGATCCAGCCTCCTCTGTCCTGCAGGCCACGCTCACGCCCTCAGGACAGGACTGCAACTGAGGTGCCTCAAGGTTCTGGTTCTGACAGGCCCCAACCAGAGCAGCAGGCCCAGCTCCAACAGGGGAAGGAAGAGGTGAGAAACAAACAAAATGAATGTGTATAGCATAGACTATTTCACTGTGTGCTCTCTTCTGATCCTGACGATTTCAGGAGACAGTGCTATCGTTCTCACCATTTAATCCTCACTCATTTTTTTTCAATATATTTTTTATTGATTTCGGGGAGGAAGGGAGAGGGAAAGAGAGATAGAAACATGAATGATGAGAGAGAGTCATTGATCAACTGCCTCCTGCACACACCCCACCCCCCACACTGGGGATGGAGCCTGCAACCCAGGCATATACTCTGACTGGAAATTGAACTGTGACCCCCTGGTTCATGGGTCAAGGCTTAACCACTGAGCCACGTTGGCCAGGCAAATCCTTACTCATTTTAGAGGTGAGGAAGCTGAGACTCTGCCTCTACTCAACATCTCTGCACAGTCCCAGGCCCTCTGGTCTGGACAAGAGCTAAGACAATCATGGTCCTTTCACATAAACCCTGACACCAAGATGTCAGAGGCTGGGAAGGGCTGGACTTGCAGTTTGGGACTGGGAGTTTATCAGGGCAGCACTGTGGGTTCACTGTTCCCACAGGCCACCCTTTCACCAAGGGTGTCAGTGACCACATCACCAAAGCCACTGGGACTCCTCAGACCTTCTCATGCCAGGGCCACTGAAAACCTAAGACTGGAAACTATGTGAGCCAGAATTATAGGAGAAGAGGGGAGGGGGCAAAGGACTGGCTGCACATTCCCTCCCCCTGAACCCCTCCATTCCGGTCTCTCCTGGGCCTCAAGGCTGACCCCAGCAAACCCAGACACCTCTATCACAGCCCAGCCCACTGTTGCCTGGAAGAGCAGCATCCCAGCATCTCCACCTTTTACTGGCAGTCAGCAGATGCCAATTATTAGACACACCTCATCTTTACTAGTTCAGTGTTTTTTAAAATTAATGCTCAGATATCTACAATGTTATTTCTTTCATTCACAAAACACATTCACCTCTGTGGTTTTCATTGGCTCCTTGAGGTCCACCAGGTAAGGATCACTATCCCTACTTGCCAGGTAAAGCAAAGAAGACACAGAGAGGGGAAGAACTTTGCTCAAGGTCACTGACACCCTTTGGAAGTGGCAGACTAAGACTTAAGACTTCTATAAGGTTCCTCTGTATTCTGCTGTCTACCAACCATCAGGACCAAGCATATTCACCGTAAACTCAGACTGAGCTAGGTGCTGGGGGAAACCCTTGGTCCTTGTCTCCATGGAACTCCTAGGCTATCCAGGAAAATAACTCATGCATGCATGTGGAGACTTACTCTGTTCCTGGTGGTACCCCATCTGACAGATGGGGAAATGGAAGTTTCAGGATAGTTAAGCAGCTTATCCCAGTAAATGGTGGAACCAGGATTGAATCAGGTCTCCTCTTTCCCAATTCAATGCTATTTTTAGCATAATGAACATGTTCCAGGTGTAAAAGAATGTGGACCTGAGAGTGAGGGCTATAGAAATCCAGAGGAAAAAAAGAAACAATCTATTCACTCAGCAAACATTTAATCATAAGCAAGATTGGTGCCTGGTGCTTGGGACACAAAGTCTAAGTCCTGGTCTCATTTCTCAAGGAACTCAATCTAGCAGAAGATTCAACCCTGCACTGAAGTGACTAGGATGCTGAGCCAGCATAGAAGAGGGGAGCAGCAGGTCAGGGGCTTAGAGAAGGTTCCTCAGAGGAGGGGGTCATAAATGAGGCATTGCTCCCTAGCTTCTTGGAAGCCATCAGTGGCTCCCCAATGCCCTCAGGATGGCATAGTATTCCAACTCCTTCATTTGGTATGCAAGATTTTCATAATGAGGCCATGCTCAACTCTTAGCCTCCTATCTCTATTGCCTGTTAATCCCTTCTCTGGCCCTTCTTCTGGTCTTGGGTTGGGTGGTGGTCCTCTTTAGGAAGCCTGGCACCCCATACCACCCCAAACCTGTTAGGTGCTCCTCCTCTGTACTGCCACATGTCCCTGTGCACACCATGTCACACTGGGCACTCTGTATTGGCATTGCCTATCTTGTCTTCCTCCTCTACTACAGGAGAAGCAACGTGAGTGTGGACCAAGGTTCCCTGTGCCCACCCCGAGGCCTGGCAATAGAAGCTGTTCAATGAGTGATACATTAACAGAGTACGTCACTCTGGTGCTTCCCTGAGATCCTCTCACTGCACCCAATTACATCTCTCCCTGCACCAAAGCCTGGTCAGTTTGTCCTCCAAGAAGCCTTCTCAAATGAACTCTCAACAATTCCGCTGCTTCATCACACGTGACATCTACCCAGTGCTCATGATCTTCCATTTACTCAATTAAAAAAATATATTTGCTGATGCCTGCTCTGTGCAGGCCTGTGTCATCTGGAGGTGGAGAGAACAAGACCCAGGCTGCACCCTCAGGAAGCTCCGAGTCTGGGAGGGGAGGCAGACATGTGTAGGGACAATGAAGGCAGCATGGCAAGTGTTCAGTTGGACAAGGGGATATCCAGTTGCTGCAGGTGCAAAGGGAGAGAGAGACTAAGTCTGGGGGAAGGTTTCACTTGACTGGAGGCAAGTCAGCAGGGATGCCCAGGTGTGACCTTGAACTGCAGCCTGTGGCTAGGCAATGGTGTTTAGTAAGGAGGTGTTTTGGTCAGATAGGGGTTGGAAATGGAGGGTGGTCTGAAGGGAAGAAACTGCAGAAAAGAAAACTAGCCATGAGACTGGTGAGGAGAGTGAGCAAGCAGAACTGCCTGAGGTTTCCCAGGAAAAGAAAGGAATGGCCAAGCCGGTTCCTTCCCCAGGAAACCCCAGGAGCAGCACTGAAGTGAGCAGCTCCAAGTGGAGGGTCCAGCAGGTGTGGGACACAGGACACAGGACACAGGGCATAGTCACTCTATTTAGAGACACCCTCCCTCCTCCTCCACGCTCCCACCCCACCCCACCCCTCGGGGCCAGCATCCCTCAACAACAGAAAGCCGGCCTCTCTTAAGCTGGTCCCTCCGAATTGGAGACACGTGAGCTACCCTCCCGGCTGTTCCCCTCCCGGCTGTTCGGAATTCAGTCCAGGCTCCACTTGCCGAGGACCCGCCCGTGGGAAAAGGCGCTAGAGATGGAGCCGGGCCTGAGTGCCCGCACTTCGGAACCACTCCATCCCCCAGGGACCTGGTCGCTCACAGCACTCGAGGGACACGCGCTGCCGCTTACGCTCACCTGGGAACAGGACATTCCTAAATGGGGTGGGGCCGCAGTCCTTCCCTGCTTCCTGTGCAGCGGAGCGGGACCAGCCAAGCAAGGGGCAGCGGCACCGGTCCCAAGGCTCTTGGCCCTGGCTCTTAGCTCACAATCCCTTAGAGACAGGGGAGGGGCAGCCGGGCTTTAGCTGGCGAAAGAGGGACCTCAATTTGCTGGGGAGCCCTAGGTCTTGTAGTGAGCGTGGTGCGGCTCGGAGAGATCTGACCGGAGGGGACTATTTTCGGTCATGGCGGGTGTGGGAAGAAGGCTTGGCAGGTGAAGAGAACAGAATGCAAGGTCCCTAGGATGTAAGGTCCGTGTGGGCAAGGCTTGCACTGTGCGGTGCACTGGTGTATCTTTGTGCCCCTAAGAACGTTTAGGCATACAGCAAGTCTCCACCCCCACCCCCACCCCCACCCCCCATATTTGTTGGATAGACAAGCTGAGTAATTTACACCCAGTCCTGAAAATAGTACGTTTTTAAATATATATAATCTTTATTGATTCCAGAGAAGAAGGGAGAGGGAGAGAGATATCAATGATGAGAATCATTGATTGACTGCCTCCTGCACGCCCCCTACTGGGGATCGAGCCCAAGGGTCCAGAGGCTGACGCTCTATCCACTGAGCCAAACCAGCTAGGGCAGTTACATTTTAAGTAGGAAAGTGACGCGGGTCAGGTTGGTTTAGAAAGATTATTCTGGCAGCCAGTGGAGGAAGGCTCTGTAATACTGCATGAGAGACGAGTGCGGGCTGGAGCAATACTGCATTGTTGGTCAGCAACTAAAGGGAATGGGAAGTAGCCAGACTAGGAGCCAAGGTGAGATGGAATCCCAAGAGTGTGGGAGAGGAATGAGAGGGAGAAGGTAAGAGTCTCTCTAAAGCAGCGGTTCTCAACCTGTGGGTCGCCAACAATGAAAATACATCCTGCATATCAGATATTTACATTACGATTCTTAACAGTAGCAAAATTACAGTTATGAAGTAGCAACGAAAATAATTTTATGGTTGGGAGTCACAACATGAGGAACTGTAGTAAAGGGTCGCGGCATTAGGAAGGTTGAGAACCACTGCAAAGTGTCTAGATTTGGCCACTTGGATGAAGAGTGTGCTACAGAAAGAATTTTGTTAATATTGGGTAGGATCCCAGGCACCAGTTCTAACACCTGCCCCACATTCTCCCACCTACCCTGCCACTAAGTTAGAGGGATATGCAAAGAACAGGGGCGGAGTTAGGAGCTCAAGTGGCACTGCCTCTCCTAGCGACCTGGAGGGGAAAGTCACAGCACAGGATCTAGTGTGTCCTGAGTGGCTATAGCCACAGGGCACTGTTCAATGTTTTACAGACAGTGTCATCATTTATTAGATTTTCTCAAATGCCCAAGGTATTAGCATTCCCGTTCTCCAGAAGAGGAAATAGTGGATTTGTTGATTTTATTGAAGGTTATACCTTTAATAATTCGTGAAGCTGAGACCTGAACACAGTCTGACATGAAAGTCAGATCTAAGGTGTCTGAGAAACTAAAAGAAAGAACCAGGATGGAGGCAAGTTCATCCAAGGTGTGCTGCAAGTTCAAGCCAAGGGCCAGATTGACTTCTGTCACTTGTGTTTCTCTTAATTTGTCCATGCCATGTGGTCCATTAAGGTGGTAAATTAAAAACTGTAGCATAATGGTTATAATACTGGCTTTAACTTTTAACCAAGTTATATTCCAGCACTAACACTGACCAGTTGTGTAAATTTGAACAAGTTACTTTGTTTCATGAACCTATATTCTAGTCTGTAAAATGGGATTATATAAAGCGCTTAGCACAGAGTAAAAGCTCTATTATTATTATTACTACATGATCATGCATTTGTTAGCTGAAACTTCCCCAAGGCTTCCTTTAGAAGAGGGAGAAAAGCAGGAGTAGCTAAGAAAGCCCCTTTTCTTCATCTT